CATGATTCCTTAGCACTGAGCCAGGACAGTTAAAGTGACCTCAATCTGAATTATTTCTGGCAGTCTGCAAAGGCCCTTAGTCTCAAAGGTGCTGCGAGATCTCTCTGCATACTGATTCTACAGACTAACACAGCTGTATCTTTGAATTAAAAAACAAGGTTATAATTTCAAATGGAATTTGTTCTCAGACAGTTTGCATATGTTTGTTCATTTATCCTAGTTTGCAACTTCTTTTAATATACATATATATGGCTACTTACAGCGTTTCTGGATATACATAATGCTGTCGGTGAGCTTAAATCAATGGCCAGACAACTAAGAACAAAAAAGGCATTTTTTTACTTTCATATTTTGTCTTAACAGGAACATATAGACAAAGCAAGAGAACTTAAGCCTCAAGACCCTCTTTTGTATTATCTCACTGGAAGATGGTGCTATGAAGTAAGTGTGTTGTGAAGCTTATGTCATATGCATGGCAATAGTCACATTAATAGCTTTAAAAATTGTGCCACTGAGCATTGTACCGAATGTTATGCTACTGGTAAAAAAAAGTATAAAAGGTGGCATTTTCCAGTGGTAGTTGACCAAGAGCTACCACAGCAGACCACACAGGCAGAATCAAAGGATTTGATACTTGAGCAGGAGTGGAAACAGGCTTTTTACCAGTAAGGAAGGTTGTGCTCTAGCAGAATTCTGTTGGATAAATGACATAAGATTGAATGTTTGCAGTGCCAAATTCATAAACTTAAAAGAGTGAAATAGCTGTGTGAAATCAGTGGAGCACAAGACCTCTGCCTAAAATTAAACATTGGCTTTGGGATGGGGAGGCAACATGTTTAAATAGAGTGCTTTTTAAAGGCAGACTGAATATAATCCAGATACAAATTGGTAACCAGTAAATCTCATACTGGACAAGCTTTATATTCTCTGCGGTTTATAACAGTGTTTAAACTGTGTGGTATTCTATTCATTCTTTACATCTAATATCATAAGAACCTAATCATTTCCTTTGAACAAGGATTTTGCTATGCAACTCACAAGAGCAGGTGCTATCATTTTACCATTTTCTGAGACTGAAGCTGGTTTGGGCAGAACTTAGGAAAGTTCTTTTTTGAGGCTATATTTTTCAGAATGAGATTCCCTCACAGGCCATGATAGTTGTTGGCGGGATTCTGAGTTTAAAAAATGACTCTCTCAAAGTCTCAGAGTAAGACTGATTTAAGTCTAGACTCAGTGGTGTGGAGAGCCTTGACTTGGTGAGAACTGCATTCCTTATGAATCTGTAGATGGCTGATTTTGGGACAGTTTGCTCACTTTCCCTCTCATTGATATTGAATT